AAATCAATTCGTTATGTGAACCCTGTTCCGCTACCTTCCCGTTCTGGATCACGACAATGGGGTTGGCCTTCTGTATTGTAGAGAGATAAGCTTCAGGTCGACGCGGTCCATGACCCAGTCTTCTGGGCATTTTTTCGACCAATTTTTCGGCTGATTCCGGCGATTTAAGGCGATGCCACCACTTAGGTTCAACTCCTCTCTTCACGCCGAGCATAACCCACCCAAGTTTCGCCACGATCGACCACTATAGAAGGCGGTACTAAGCCATGAATCGGTGATCTCATCATTTGTCCACATGGAAAATTTTGACAAGCCATTAGCAAAAATATGGGATCCGCAATTGGCACATCATCAGTTAACAAACAAATTGATGGTTTAACTAACAAATGCATGAGATTACAACTACAATAAAAGTTTGTGTCGTACGTTGAGGTTGCGATTGCACAAGAACTTGGAGGGTGCAAAATGTAAGGGCCTATTTGGCATCCTATTAAAAAAAATGATCATTTCTCAAAACATTTCTCAGAAACATCACTTGAATTTTTGTTAGGACTCAAAAACTGTTTGGTATGAGATTTAAAAATTTAATTTTTAAAACATAAAATGGACAAATAAATCAAAAAGAGAGAAAGAAGAAAGAGGATTAGGGGAGATTGAGAGGAGGAGAGAGAAAGAAGGAATGAGAGATAGAATAAAGAGAACATATTAGAAGAGAGAGAAGGAGAGAGAAAGAAGAAAAGAGAGATAGATTCGAAGTGAAACTGGAGGAGAGAAAATAAATGAATAAGTTTTAAGTTTAAAAATCCTAAAAACTCTTTTTTTTTTTTTTTTTTAGAAAATATGCTATTTTTTTAAGTTAATCTGAAGTTCATTTTTTTTTAAATAGCCTATGATATGCAATAGAATTTGTGATATTCTAATGTATACGTTTTTGTATCAGTCTATAGACGACTGAGATGGAGAGAAACAAATGTGTATCACACGGTTTCAAGAGGCACATTATGCCCTACTTTCTTAGCAATCAAGTTGCACATCGACTTGAATTCTTGAGTCGTTGAAGGTAAAGACTTGGCAATTTCCTTGGAGTTGTATGTAAGGGCATTTTACTTAATTATTAAAAGGGAGTAGTCTTATTCTACCAAACTTCTTGGAACCTTCCTTCAATCCTATTTTTAAATCACTCAAAATACCCAACAACTTTTTTGATATTTTATATGAATTTTATTGAGTGATAAAATTTTTAACAAAATATATTATCTACATTAAGGGAGAGAAGATCGGTTTGGCCTCATAATAGGTTAGCAATAATGTGATTCAAATTCGTCTTTGACAAGAATCGGACCTAAAACCTCTCACTTACAAATGAAAAGGAATATCACTAGATCGTAGTATTAAGTGACTTATTGAGTGATAATTAAATTTTGGATAACTTAGAGTAAATGTTTGATACTATACTTGAATTTAACTTTTTTTAACTCAAAACACTTTATAAGTTTTAAGTCTTAAAAACATATATGATATGATTCGCATTAGTCTCGTGAGGTTTGCACAAAAGCACATACACTCGAGGAAGCAACATACAACGTATTGCCGGGTATATACCCCGTTACAAGAATATAAATATGGACCAAGTGACTTTAATAAAGATTAAATAGTACCAAAGACTTTAATAAAGATTAAATAAAGAAGTACATATCTTTTTCGGATCTAAAAAAATGGAGCTTAAGGATCAAATGATCCGAACTGTTGAAATTTGATCTAACAGCTGTAATTATTATAATATTAGATAAACTCCTTGCTTGTAACCGTTTGATCTAATTTTAACGACCCGGATCATTTAATCCTTAAACTCTGTTTTTTTAAGATCAGAACAGGATCTGTACTATAAATAAAGACCAAAGACTTAATAAAGATTAAACAAACACCAAGTAAAGTGACCAAGACCAAGAGTATCAATAATATTTTTTCCAATCGTTTCTCTCTGTAACCCCTCTTCACATTTCTCTCTCTAACCACAAACATGGCGGGTCAATCAGAAGGGTGCTGCAGGTGCTGCTTCAGCTTCATATTCTCCCTCGGCCTCACAGCCCTCTTCCTGTGGCTGAGCCTCCGCACCTCCAACCCCAAGTGCACCATCCGCTCATTTTACCTTCCTGCCCTCAACGGGACCCTAAACGACACCAAAAACACCACCCTCTTCGTCACCCTCCGGCTCAAAAACACCAACAATGACAAGGGAATTTTCTACGACACCGTCAACCTCACCTTCCGGCTTCAGCCCAACGCCACCGCCAAGCCCGTATCAACTTCTGCTGTGCCCCGGTTCTACCAAGGCCACCAGAAAACGGCCACCAAGAACGTGGTCGTGGGCCCCCAGCAATGGCTTAACTGGACGGCGGTGTCCAGTGGGGTCCACCCCAATGGGAGTGTGAGTTTCAGGGTGGATTTGGCCACTGCTGTGAGGTTCAAGATCATGTTTTGGAAGACCAAGAGGCACAGGCTGAATGTTGGTGCTGACGTGCTGGTCAATGACTCCGGTGGGAAAGTCAACAAGAAGGATATCAAGCTCTCTGCCGCACCAGATCATCACCTGATTGGTTTCTTTTCTGGGCAGGTGGGGGTTTTGTCCAATTTCTGGGTTTTGATTTTGCTCAATTTTTTGTGATTTATTTATTTATTATTTTGTTGATTTGCATTGAGTGCTATTTTTTCACCTAGGAAGGAAGAAATTAGTCCCAACTTTTTGTACCAAAAATATTTTCTATTCAATTTTTTGTAATAGACTGTAGACAATGCAATATTAGTCAAATCACAATTTTTTGTGATCGAGATTTATAACATTTTTTTTGTGATAGACTGTAGACAATGCAATATTAGTCAAATCACAATTTTTTGTGATCGAGATTTATAACATTTTTTTTTGTGATAGACTGTACACAATGCAATATTAGTCAAATCACAATTTTTTGTGATCAAGATTTATAACACCGTAATGTTGTTTATTTTTCCAAATGCACTGATCTGGTCAATTGGTCTATCCCAAATCTACCACTGCACTATTGAGTTTGTTTTTCTTTCTATACCATTTATTATAAATCCTGGAGTTAATGAGTGGTGCATGGGTGGAGTATTTATCAAATATAGTAAAAAATTAACTCTTAATTTTAAAAATGTCACTTTTTATAAAAACTTTCAAATATATCTAAAATTTCATTTAAATTGACACAAATACCCTCAAATTTAACAATTAAATAAATTAAAGTCTTTTTAACTACTGTCGCCTCAAGTTTCGGTTCAATTTCACCTTCGCTTCTAAACTCCACCACAACAACCCTATCCCCTTCGACCCTCTCATCACCAACATTGAGCGCCGCTGCGTTTACTGCAAGTGGGAGTAGCAGAATTTCAATCATGCCTTCAACGCCTTTTTTCTTACTAATATCTTTTTGTTGTAAACATTCCTAGTTTAAGTATGATTGTGTAAATCCTAGATAAGATTTGATTCTAGTTATCCTTTCCTATTACAACTTGTATTACTTGGAGAAGAAGGAATATCTTCTCTCCCTTTACTACTATAAATAAAGGCACAATGTAGGAGGGATAACAACACACACATTCCCCTACAATTCTACAAACACACATCTCTCTCCTCTCTCTCTCTGCCGCCGGCCCTAGTCCCTCTGTCAGATAAAATAGACCACAACACTTTTTTAGTTTTAAATATAAAAAAATAGTTTTTAAAGTTAATCCACATGTCGTTATATGATTGTATTTGTGAAACCCACGTGGTTGCACATCATCACACTAACAGAGCAATTGATAGATTTTTCACGAAAAAACTAAAATGATCACGATGGACATATTCAAAGAAAGACAAATGGTTCATGATAACAAATTCAAAAACACTACTATTGATTATCATTAATTGTTAAGGACCAGATTAATGAGTTATGTCAATGTCACGAATCATTTTGGCTAAAAAGCCTTTAATTTATTGGATTGTTAAATTTGAGGGTATTTGTGTTTATTTAAGTGAAATTTTGGATACATTTGAAAGATTTTATAAAAAGTGACATTTTTTAAATTAAAAATTAATTTTTTGCTATATTTGATAAATACTCGCATGGGTGGGTGGGAAAATAAATGGGTTGGAAAAAAATAATAATGATGCCAAGGAAGAAAAGTCAAGCCTTGAAAGATTCTCGGTGTTTTCTTTGATAAGTTTGCAAAAATGGGTAAAACATGATAAGTCACATGATATGTTTGGAGATTTGGTCATGCTTGAAGTTGTTGTAGTTTTAGAAGATTTTTACTTTATTTATACAAAACTTGATATTATTTTGTTATTTTTCATCTATATATATAAAGTGAGCATCCTAAAATGGTGAAACATTCAAAATACCATAAATTGTCCTTTAAGAATTTCATAAATTACAATTGAACCAAAAGAAGCTAAAGTATTTAACCATATTTTTATTTTGAATGAATTTAATATTTAAAATTATAGAAAAACAAAAAAAAAACAAAACAAAACAAAACCTCCCACATTAGTCGGTGGTTTCACGTTTTTAATTCATTTCTTTTCTTTTTTTTTTAATATTTTTTTTTAAAATATGTAAATTAATTATTTAAATAAAAGATATATAAAAATGTCAATTGCCACATGCGTATGCGTGTGGCAAGAGGCTAGTATTTTGTTAAGGGAGCATTTTTGCTCACCACCATAAACTATGGTGTATGCTCACCATACACCTAATTAATTGACACGTGTCATTTCACTCAATCTTGGTTAATTTTTTTCAAAATTGAAAAACTAACATTTAATGTGAAAGTTAACTAGAGTTAAGTGAAATGACATGTGTCAATTGATTAGGTGTATGATGAGTATACACCATAGTTTATGATGGTAAGCAAAAATGCTCTCTTTTGTTAATTAGTTGATAGTTGAAGAGAGAGAAAGGCACAGAGGCTTTAAATTTGCAAATGCGTTTGAGTTCACGTATTTGGACACGATAAATTCATGGGTCATGTTTGAATTAGAATAACTTCTCATGCTACAGATACAAATGGTAATGGGGTTTCTCATATCAAGCCTATGTATAATATAACAAAAATTGAGGTAACTATTCAAAGCCAATCTACATATTACAATGCAACATCCTTAAATACTTTGTCACTATTTATCTGGTTCACCTAGGAGCTGAGCTACCAGTTTGTAGTTTTATAAGATTGTAGTACGCTCCGTTGCGCCCCAACGAAAGCAATTCGTTATGTGAGCCTTGTTCCGCTACCTTCCCGTTCTGGATCACGGCAATGGAGTTGGCCTTCTGTATCGTAGATAGCCGGTGAGCAATGACGATGCATGTTCTACTAGCCATCATCTTTTCAAGCGCTTCTTGAACTGCCTTTTCCGACACGCTGTCAAGCGCGCTGGTAGCTTCATCTAGTAGGAGGATTGACGGGTTCTTCAGTATCGCCCGAGCTATTGCAATCCTTTGTTTCTGACCACCTGATAACTGAACTCCTCTTTCTCCACAATATGTATCATAACCATTATCCATTCCACTACAAAATATATGAAAAGTGAGAAATCTTAACATATTATGAAACTGCAAATCGACATAATCTTTTCCGTGTATTATTGTCAAATGTAATCTCTTACCTGATGAATTCATGAGCGTTGGCAAGACTTGCAGCCCTCTTTATCTCAGATTCTTTCGCTTTCTGTTTTCCATAGGCTATATTTTCGCGGACTGTTCCAGCAAATAGAGTAGGCTCCTGACTGACTAATGCAATGTGTGACCTCAACAGTCTCAAGTTATAGTTCTTGACATCCTGCTCATCTATGCATATTGTTCCGTTCATTGGGTCGTAAAACCTCTCAATGAGTCCGATAATGGTGGATTTTCCAGAACCACTTCCCCCAACCAGCGCCACTGTCTTGCCTGCATCGATTCTGAGGCTCAATCCCTTAAGGATCATCTGCTCAGGTCTTGTTGGATATGAAAAGAAAACATTTCTGAACTCGACGCGACCCTTGATCCTTCTCTTGATTTCAAGTCCCCATTGGTTATCCGGATCAATCTCACTTTTCCTGTCCAACATTGCGAAAACTGATTGAATGGCACTGTTTCCTTTAGATATATCAGAAGTCATGCTTCCGGCATCTGCAATGATATAAGCAGTGAATAGCAGTATCAAAAATGCCTGGAAGAGTTCCTTTGGAGTTATCTGCCCGTCCACCAGTAGCCTCCCACCGTACCAGTATGCTAAAGCTGTAGCGGCAGTGTTGAAGAATTGGGAGCTAAACAAACCAGCACCTGAAACATAAGACTGTTTAATACTATCCTTCTTTGGACCTTTCAAGGTAGCACCAAACAGCCCCAAAATCTTTTTTTGAGAAGAAAAAGCGGTTATAGTTCTGTGGTTGATGACAGCTTCGCTCGCCAATTGGCTTCCTTGCTTTTGAGCTTTTCGTGCTTTCTCACCACTGCTCTTCATTAGGATGCTTCTAGCGTAAAAACTCCCGATGACTAGTGGCTGCACTGCTATCATCACAAGGGCTAGCCTCCATGTCAACACAAGTCCTACTGTGTAAGCAAAGCAAGCCCCGAAAACTGCTTGGACCAGCAATGACATCCGGTCCCCAACAAGAGATTTAACCATGTTTGCTTCGGTGGCTAACCTTGCACAAATAGCTGCACTTGTGTTCTCATCTTGATCAAACCACCCGATCTCAAAAGTTAGCAGCTTTTCAAGCACTTTCTCTCTTACCCTTGTCGTCAACTTTTCTCCCATGACTGCAAAATTGTAGTGTTGGAGGAGATTGGTGAAGAAGTTGAAAAAGCCAATGCCTAAGAAAACGAGGGACAAGACTCTGGATTGTCTCTTAATTTCAGATTTGTCCTGAAGGAAGTAGACTGATATAAGCGATCCTACACAATAGGCGTTTATAGGTTGTACTGCCCCGGAGCCTATTGCACCCAAGCATCCAAGTAAGGCTTGTCCAGATTCTGGTGCATTCATTTTTAGCAGACGCCATTGGGAAGGAGGATGATTCGGGCGCTTGAAGCCTTCATCGTCACTTTCATCTTCTGGATCATATTGGAGAGAGAAAGAGTAGGGTGTTCCCATGGACATAGACATCGGTGTGGGGTTGAAGGCTGGAGAAGGAGTAACTGATCTGAAACTAATGGGGCTTGGCGTAACACTCCTACGGCGAGGCTTTTCATATATTGGAGAACTGAAATCCTCATAATCCTCATTTTTGCCTGCCATCTGCTGCATTTGTACCATCTTGAAGTATTCGCCTCCTTGTTCCCCTTTCTTTTGCATTAGTTGATTGTGTGAGCCTGATTCTACTACTTTCCCGGCTTGAAGAACAAAAATCAAGTCTGCTGTTCGGATTGTAGACAGGCGATGGGCAATGATGATTGTTGTCCTCCCTTTTGATGCCTGATCAATTGCCTCCTGCACTACTCTTTCTGATTGCGCATCCAGTGCGCTAGTTGCCTCATCAAGAAGCAGAATTTTCGGATCCCTCAGCAGAGCTCTCGCTATGGCAATCCGCTGCTTTTGCCCACCAGACAGTTGGAATCCGAATTGACCAGCCTGGAAAAATACAAATGATGTTATAAGCAGTAATCATGTGACGTGATCAGTTTCTGAGAAGTTCATTTCAGATCAATTACATGCTTATTTTTTTTATTTTTTTTATCACCATAACATTATAGAAATCTAGTTCAAGCGTTGAGTATAAGAAGAAAACTAGGCATGGAAATCAAAAGCAGATTTCCGTGTGGAAGATGTTATACTTGAGTTTCATATCCGTCTGGTAACTTGACGATGAAGTCATGTGCGTTTGCAGCTTTGGCCGCAGTTATTACTTCATCCATTGAGGCCCCTTCCTTTCCGAAAAGTATGTTCTCTTTTAAGGAAGTTGCGAACAGAACTGGTTCCTGATTAACTAGACCGATCTGGGATCTCAGCCATTTCGCCTGAAGTCTACGAGTTTTGTGTCCATCCAACAGAATTTCTCCTTCAATGGGGTCATAAAATCTTTCGAGCAATGCAATGGTGGTTGACTTGCCCGAACCACTGCCCCCAACTAGACCTACACTCTTACCAGCCGGAATCTTAAGACTCAAGCCTTGTAAGACTGGGGTATCAGGTCTCGATGGGTAACTGAAGTAAATGTCTTGGAATTCTATTTCTCCTTTGACATGTGACAAAGCCTTCCCTTTTCTGTCTTCAGTGTCGATACTAGGAACTCGATCAATCATTTCAAGGATTCGAGTTGTAGCTGCTAATGCCTCGGTGATGCCAGTTAAGTTTGGGAGTGCACTTAAAATACTCCTGCAATAACAACCCTAGATTATAAGTTCAAGATCGAAAGTGAACTATTGAAATGAAATGCAGTGGCAAGTTAACTCACAAGCCTCCCATGAGGACATTGAAACCGGCTACAAAAACATGACCGCCATCTTCGCCTTTCTGAGTAACCAAATAAGTCCCGACCCAAGCTTGGAAACCCCAACCAACATAGATCATTCCCATGCTTCCCATCAGCACTCCCTTTACCAAACCTACCTTTATTCCAAGTTCAGTAACTGTCTGAAGTGCAGTGCTGAACCTATTCAGCGTTTGGTTCTCTCCAACGTATGAGTACACGGTTCTTACTGAAGAAATTGCTTGTTCAGCAAGTCCCCCAGCAACTCCATAAGCTGCAATTCCCTTCATTACCAGCCCCATCAGGATCTTTCCGAATACAAGTCCCGGAGCTATGAACAAGATTGAAAGCGGCATAGCCGCCAACGTCAGCCTCCATGACAGCATAAAGGCGAATATATGGCAGAAGAAGAAAGTTGACATGTACGTCAGGCAGTCAGGTATCTGCATTAAAGAAAGCAGCAAACATGTACTTGATCGCCAAATTCATGCGCATGTTCTTCAATTCGGTGCATAAACTCTCAAGAATATGTTGGATTTATGATGAAAATAACTCTTACCTTCTCACACAAGGCAACTTGGACCGCAGTGGCATCGGAGGAGATGATCGTGATAACTTGGAATGTTGTTGAAGAACCAGCAGTCTGGGTGTCAAAGAAGGAAACTTCTTGTCTAAGAACAGATTTCATATATTCCATTCTCATTTTAGAAGTCTGCCTCTCCGCTGTTCGTGTCCAACATAACCCTTCTGCAGAAGTAGTAATTACCACGAAAGCGATTAGGTTCATGTTCTAATGTTTAATCTTTCATTATTTCCTTCTAGCAAGAAAACTCAGGACAAATTGTTGGAAAAACTGCAGATAACGCGGAAAACTAGTAATTACTAATTAACATTCGAATTTACGTACCAACAAATGCTGCTAATCCAACTCCAATTGCAACATAGAATAACCTGAGTGCAAACTGGAAAAAGGAGAATCAAAACTAGCAAGCGCTGCAAATACTCAACGCAGTTAAATGCCTTGTACTGCAAGAAATGCTGAGAAAATTTACCATGCTTAATTACCTTATCTACATCTGCATTTGTGACCTGACCCTTCCCATAAGAATTAATAACCTCACTAAGAACATACATCATGAGAGGGTTCTGCAACCCGTCACCGATGCTGCCTAACGTCCCGAAGAACATCAACAACTTATCGGTGCCATCTGCGTATCGAAACATGCTGTTTTTGTGCCCCATTTTTGCCGGAGGATCTGAAATGTTAGAACTTTCAAGGCTCTAGACTTTATACAACTTCATCACCTATTTAACCACAAATATTAAGAACCAAGATTTATAAATTAAAATAAAAACAAGCCGGCAATCTCATCCTGTATGAATGTTTGCTGCCATAATTCCAATTAGTTCACGATCCAAGGCTTGCTGTTATCTTGGCAACTGTTAACTTTGTCTTCATGCTTTTATTCTGCATGATAAGAAATATTCCATTTGAGAGTTAGTGTACTTAAAATTGGAAATTTTCACTTTTGGTCCCTGTAGTTTTAAATTTGACGAACTTTAGTGCGTACTTAACTTATTTTTGCAACTTTGGCGCCTTAATTTGCTTATTTTTGCAATTTTGGTCCCAATCGGTAAAAGCTCTTTTTTAAAACGGGAGGAAACCTATAATGGTAGGATGTGCATGTATCATGGTTGAACATTTTTGACATTTGAAGTGCATGACTTTGTGAGAACATAGCCAAAACGACATTCCAAAATCCCCAAGAACCCTAAAGCTCCAATTTACGGGCTCAAAATTCATCGTTTTCTTGGACTGGTGTTATGAGAACTTGGGAAAACAACCCAAAATGTCGAAAATTCATGAACAACACATGCATATGGTGGAACAACATTTTCCATCTTCAATTTTAATGGGGTAAAGCCGTTACAGATCAAAACAGTAAAAGTAAGCAAACTACATGATTAAAATTGCTAAAGTCGAAACCACAGGAACGAAAGTAAAACATTCTAAACTAATGAGGAGCAAAAGTGTAATTGGCCAATTCATATATCTCCATCACATCGCATCTAATATATTAACAAACTAATTAACAATAAATGAGGACTGAGTTGGCGATGTTGAGGGTTTGGTAACATTTTTTGCCTTTTGCATTGTCACAAATTGGCATAAAAGTCACGCATTTCAATTCGGTTAACAACAACAATATGGTTTGTTGTTTTGTTCAATCAATCGATACCAAAGCCTGCAATTTTCAACCAAATTAATTCCGTACATTAAGCCGAGTCCATTCGACTTTGGATTCTTTTAATAATTGTGAGATTACCAATTATTGCTATTATTTTTTGTTTTTCGGCATATACTCGAGTATTGTCCAGTCCAAAAACATAAATATAAAACATGATCTCAATTTTTTTCATTGTTTTCTCTGGTGTAGTTCTCAAGGGCGGGACCGCCGAATGCTGCCTTCAATATCTGTTTTTGGGACACGTGCCCGGAAATAGTATCTGACCATTCATTTCCCGTTATGCTACATTTGTCGTTATGAGAGTCCGGAGACAGATTCTAGGGTTAATTTGGAATTGCTGTGTTTTTTTTTTTTTTTTGAAAGCTGTTTTTGGTGTGGCTTAATTGACATGGTAGTGAGGATGGTGGCAATGAGAAGCGGTGGTGAGGACAGTGATGGTGATGGTGGCGGCAGTGGTGATGACAGCGGCAAAGGTAGTGGTATGGTGTTGGGGCCAATAGTCAAGTCTGGTGGTTGAGGTGTAGAGGTAATAATGGTGGTAGGGACTGCGGTAGGGACGATTGTGGTTGTAGTGGCAATGGAGGTGACTCTGCTTATGGTGTTGATGGTGGCAGTGATAGCAATAATGTGGAGGCGATGAAGGCAACATTAGTGGTGGCAGTATTGGTGATAACAATTTTGGTGGGGATAATTGCAATTGTGGTGTTAAGTTAGTGTTTGTATTGGTAGGTGGTAGCAGTGACTTTGTTCTCAAAAAGAAAAAAATGAGTTTAGAAGCTTAAACAATGTCATTTTAAAAACTAATGAGGGTATTCCAGAAATTGAAAATATTCATTAAAGGCTCAACTCTTATTTTTATTAAAGCAGCTTTTAAAAGTAGCATGAATGTTGCTTTTAAAAGCTGATGTCAGAAGGCTATTGCTTTTAAAATAAACATACTATTTTATTTATACCAAATACTTTTTTATTGCCTAACTTTAAAGTGAAATTGGTTTTTTGTATAAAAAAAAAAAATAGTAACAGATCCTTAGATGGACTAAATACACTGTAATGTCTTGATCTAATAATACGGTATTATGTGAAATTATATTTAAATAGTAATGTGTTATTCAACCGATATGTGCACTTAAATTGCTCTCCTCTCAATGTGGTCAGTCTTCCTTAAACCAACATTGTATTCTCCCCACCCCAACGGATACAATTCGCTAAAATAAAATACGTGTCTGTCGATGTGTCCTGGATGGAGGGCAAACCAACAATGGAGATGATGAAGTCGGATCACAGTTGTTTAAATACTCCCAAACATTAGCTCCATAGATAAATTAAAATAAAAAAGGTACAGAATTATTTGAAAATTCGCGAAATTCTGATTAGCAAACGACGTTTAAAATATCAATGCAATGTCTTCTGTTCAACTCCTATTCTCTTCGAAACAACCTATCATTGGCCTAAATCGGAGCTAGGGATGCCTCATACCTACTCCCAAAAACTCAAATTAATTGGTCTTCTTGGACTTGTGCTTGTGGAGATCTCATTTTCTCTCTGTTTCTTCCAATCGGATTTGAGCTAGAATGTTGTCGATATTCGCACTCCACCGTAGCATTTAATAATGTCTCATTATCGCACTCCACCACCGTAGCATTCAGTGTCAATGTCAATGATACAGAGACGTGTAAGCTTTGCCCACAAATCGTTTTAACGAAGTGCACAATGGTAAAGACAAGCAGCGAACTACTTGAAAGAATATTACAAAGCATCTTCTGCATGTTGCAACCAGAAACCAAGCATATGCACATGAAAGTACATTTATTCATTAACTAAATAGTTTTAGGGTGACTCATCCATTGGCCAACTTACGAATACGAAAATCCAAAACCGAAAAGGAAACTGTTCAATGTTCAGTGCAGGATGAGATCACAAGCATTATTCAGAATTCAGAAACCACCACGGAGGCGAAGGACAAGGTGAAGGGTAGACTCCTTTTGGATGTTGTAATCCGCAAGGGTCCTCCCGTCCTCCAGCTGCTTACCGGCAAAGATAAGCCTCTGCTGGTCCGGAGGAATGCCCTCCTTGTCCTGGATCTTTGCTTTCACATTATCGATGGTATCAGAACTCTCTACTTCCAATGTTATTGTCTTCCCAGTCAATGTCTTCACAAAGATCTGCATCCCACCACGCAGACGAAGCACCAAGTGCAGAGTGGACTCCTTTTGAATGTTGTAGTCAGCAAGTGTCCTTCCGTCCTCAAGCTGCTTGCCTGCAAAGATCAACCTTTGTTGGTCTGGGGGAATGCCCTCCTTGTCCTGGATTTTGGCCTTCACATTATCAATTGTATCAGAACTTTCAACTTCTAGGGTAATGGTTTTTCCAGTCAAGGTCTTCACAAAGATTTGCATACCACCACGCAATCGGAGCACCAAGTGGAGAGTCGATTCCTTTTGAATGTTATAATCAGCAAGTGTGCGACCATCTTCAAGCTGCTTACCAGCGAAGATGAGCCTCTGCTGGTCTGGGGGAATGCCCTCCTTATCCTGGATCTTTGCCTTGACATTATCAATGGTATCCGAGCTTTCAACTTCCAAGGTGATTGTCTTACCGGTAAGGGTCTTGACAAAGATTTGCATACCACCACGAAGACGGAGAACCAAGTGAAGGGTAGACTCCTTCTGGATGTTGTAGTCAGCGAGGGTGCGGCCGTCCTCAAGCTGCTTGCCAGCAAAGATCAGCCTCTGCTGGTCTGGTGGGATACCCTCTTTGTCTTGGATCTTGGCCTTGACATTATCAATCGTGTCAGAGCTCTCAACCTCCAAAGTGATGGTCTTTCCGGTGAGGGTCTTGACAAATATTTGCATGCCACCACGGAGACGAAGCACCAGGTGGAGGGTGGACTCCTTCTGTATGTTGTAGTCGGCGAGGGTGCGGCCATCCTCAAGCTGCTTGCCAGCAAAGATCAGCCTTTGCTGGTCTGGGGGAATGCCCTCCTTGTCTTGGATCTTGGCTTTGACATTATCAATAGTGTCAGAGCTTTCAACCTCGAGGGTGATGGTCTTGCCTGTGAGGGTTTTCACAAAGATCTGCATCTGTTCACACAAAACATCCCTATCAATCAGTTTTCATTCTTGAAGCAAAACTGGATATCCAAATATAATTGATGTAATCACACAAATATTTATCAACAAAAATTATTTCATACAGATGTTGAAGATTCTAGATAGTTCCTTTCAAATTTGATTAATACCCAATACGCAAGCATAAAAACTAGAATCGCTAAAACAACAGTAAATTGTAGAAGCAAACCAAAAATTCCATATGATAATTTTAAGATCCAAATCAACACAATCCCCATGCTAACAGATCAGAACAAAGTAGCCTTAAATTTAAACAAATCTCAAACATCCGAGGAAGAATAAAGCTGCATTAGGCTCTTAAGCCTGGGTAAAGGCGAAAGTTCTTAGGCGGCCACTGCAAATGTTCTAGAGAAACAAGCCCTAGATGTTGTCACCATAGATATAACATATGAATCTATGATTAACACAATTCGATTAATAAAAATTCATAGTATTAGTACCTCAAATCAAATCAGCAGAATCAATACCCAGAAAATACTAGGAAATGCTTTAGGAGTATGATTCTCGAATCACATCAGCATTATCTTCTCAACAAAAATTGTTTCATAAACGTTGAATATTCTGAAGAGTTTTATTTCAAATTTGATTATTAGCAACATACTAACAATTTCATCCAGCACTAAACAACTGAGCAAAAACAAATAGGCACAAAAGCAATTAAAAAACACAAACAAAAACCAAAAATTCCATCTGATATATTTCTATATCTAAATCAACACAAAACCCCGGTAGTGATAGACCCGCAACGGATTCACTTTAAACTTTTACATAATCTCAGACATCCAAGGAAGGATAAAAGCAGCACTAGCTCTCAAGCCCGGCGAAAGGCGAAAGCTCTTAGGCGGCCACTGCGAATGTTCTTGAGAAACAAGCCTTAGATTTCGTCATCATCGATAATATATATGCCAAACACAATTTAATTAAAAAAAATCACAAATTCACAACAGCATGATCAAAATCAACAAAACCCGAACGAATGTTTGACAAAATTAACCTAATTCCATCCAACAACGATCAGTAATCTGAATCGGCCGCATTAGTCAATAAAAAACATACAAAATCAAATAGAAAAAAATTCTTCAGATATACGGAGTCTTAAGCAATTTCAATCAGATCTCGATTAATACCAACAATAAATTAAATTTTTCATCCGCGAATAAAAAATCACAGGAAAAAAAAAAAGAATCGCAAGAATACGAACCTTGGAGGCAAAGCGAGAGAGAAGTTTGAAGAGGTTGAAGGAATTGGCGTGTCTCTGACTGTTCCACGAATTCTGAACAATGGAGGATTTGCGAGGCAGGCAGCCGTGTTTTTATAGGAGCGATTACCGACTTTATCAGGGAATCCTTTGAGGACCCATCCAATGAATTTCCGCCACGTGTTGGGAAAAAAAATCTTGGACGCCAGGTTTAATGAATTAACCAAAAATAATATACTTTTTTCTGAATTTTTTTTTATACATGGATTTTGCATTTGAGAATTTAATTTCTTTTCTTTAATTTAGCCAAATAGTTGCCGCTTAGTATTACGATCTAATGGTATTCCTCATCATTTATAAATAAGAGGTCTTAGCTTCGATTCTTCTCAAATTTGAACCACATTATTATTAGCCCATTATTATGAGGCTAAGTCCACCACCTCCTCTCTAGTGTAAATAATATCGTTTGTTAAAAAAAAAAATGAGAAATTCAAACTTAGGTACCGAAACATGGCGCTTTAACCAAGTTGGCTAACCTCATATGTGCTTCTTATCCTTGAATTGAAATGATACAAAGAAAGAACGAGAGATGTACAAAAGGAGAAAGATGTGAAGATCTCAAATTTCATTTTCAAAAATTACCAGAGAAATTAAACAAACAAACAAAAAAAATATATATATATATATAATTGTTATTAGCACTCAAAAAATTTTATTCTACGTTATTCGCCAATGTATTTTTCTTTTTAGTTAAAGAAAGTTTGAAGTACAAAATGAAATTTTTGGAGTGCCAATATATAATGAAGTGGCACGTGATTGATTGCCTTACCAGTGACAAACGGCCTTATCCCCTTCCAAGCTCTTAGTTTGGTTTCCTTCCACTTGCCAACTGAAAGCATAAGCATTAGGCATGGCTTCCATCTTCCCACAATTCCTCTCAACTCATAATCCTCCTCACCCACCACCAAACCACCTCCCAACCCAAACCACCGCAGCTCCCTCCCACCTTTCCCTCCATAGACCACCCAGGAAACACTTGTCCACCACCACATGCGCCACTCCAAACCCTACTCAACCTGACTTCCCAAGTCCAGACTCCGAAACCACCACCAGCGCCGAGACATTCCCCATCGAAAAGCGAAGAAAATCCGACATCACCCGAGACAGGAGCAGGTCAGAAACCGGCCTCGCAAAGCCGGAACCCCCCAACTTTGAGATTGGTTGGAAGAGAACCAAAGAGATAAAGCTAGAGAAGCCGATAGGGTACGTAATAGCTGACTTCTTGGAGAAGTTAGAGGACCTGATGGGAAAAGAATTTGGCTCCACTGAACTGTTGCTAAAAGTGGCGGAGATCGTGGCTGAGAGAGCGAGAGAGGAAGCGCAAGTGTTGAGAGACGAAGGCAAAGTGGAGGACAGAATGGTGACCGAGCTGTTTAGGGTTTTGAGGTTGATAGAGATGGACATGGTTATGGTAAAAGCTGCTGTCAAGGAAGAGACTTTGAATGAGAGGCTTGAGCAGGCTAAGGCAAGGTGCAGGCAAGCTATACTTGTTGCTTTGTCGTTCTGAAATTTTTTTCTTTTTTTTTTTTTAATATTTCTGGATTGTACATTTGGTAGAAATTGAGCAAATGAAATTTTTTTTTTCCCCGAATTAGAGATCCGTAACTCGATATATCGCGAAGAATGGAGAAAAACTTGTAAGGGAATGTTCATGTAACGTGGTAGAACAAACCTATTGCAACCGGGGGTACATCTCCTTAGGTCTCTTTTGTGTGACACATGAGGAGAGATAGAGAAAGAAGATGATACACCCGGTTGCAACCAAGCTTTTTCCGTCCGTAAGTGTCGCTAATGTTGTAGAAACACATACATTATGACAGATAAGATCGTAAGGATTGTAAAACAGGAGGTCTGAAAATGGCGTTGAAACACCCTTTAGCCACTCTTTAAAGAAGGCAATGCATGAGAACTGGCCTGTTGAAATACCCTGATGGCTAAATCTTCAGTTCCACGATTCAGCCGGGATTTGAACCCCGGTGGTGTCACTTAAGATCTGTGCAGCAAATCAAACAATGAAAATGCAAGAACAGCGTAAAGCCAGAATGAACCGCGTAAAGCCAGAAGTCTTGAGGAACCAATGTAAATTGAATAACATTGAGTGAATATATACTAGTTACACGCGTGAAAATTATTCCAGTACACGGCTCAATGTGTTTACTCCCCGCTGGTAGCGTCCCAAGTGGAACTTTTTATCTCACCTTGGGCCCTTCGACCAGAGGCAAAAGTGGTTACATTTGTCAAGGATGCATTCATCTTATTTCTTCTTTTTCTTCCCACTCTTCGGTTTTGGGTATGCGGTTTTACATGCTTGGATGATATAGCGAACATGGGGATCATCTTTAGGCATTTTAGCATGTAAATTTCTCGCAGCATTGCGGTCCCCTCCAGCCAAAAGGGCTTGATACATCCTGCAAGCATTCCGAGATTGAAACCCAGTTGTTACAAAATCATTTCCAATACAAGGAAGCAAGGTGTTTGAGCAAGAGACAAAACAAAAAAAAAATGAAAATTCCCAAGCAGCAGGATTATTCACCTTAAAAAACTTAAAGCGTTGTAAGGCAGGCCAGTAGCTTCGTATTCTTTCCAAATTCGTCGGGCATTTTTCAGATCTTTGGCATTACCACAAGCGTGGAGAAGAAAATCAAGACATTTTCGTGAAGGTGTGATGCCAAGCTCATTCTTCATAGCATGAAGCAAGTCCAATCCCAACTGCAAATATGTAGGTTCTAATTCTGAAATTAAGGAAAATACCTACAAATTTGGGACAGAAACAAACGAAGTAGGTATCGTCAGTTTAAACAACACACTGCAAGGTTATCATGTCCAAGACTATCAGAGAACAGACATTTGAATAGATATATTACATTCTGTAAACAAAAAGAAAATGCCAAAAACGTCAGCAAAGTTACCTAGAAAACATAAAGGAACCTAGATAAAAGAAAGGAAGGAAATATATTATAAGTTCAGAAAGGAAATAGATTCTTAAAGTGTTACACCGAACGATCTGTAAAAGTTTGACTGCCCTAGAGGAAGAGATAAATTAACATAATTACAATGAATTGCTGCTACCAAAATTAGATTCACACATAAGATATGAGAGTGAGAACAAACCTGATCAAAAATTACGTCTAGAGCCAATTCGTCAGTACAGATTTTATCCCTGAACTGCTTGATCAAATTGACGGCAGATCTAAATAAAAGAGAAGGAAATAAGCAGCTAGGAGTTGTCAACAAATCAAATGAACGAAAACTATTACAGTTGGAGCATCCAACAAACCAAATTGAATGCGAGGCTAGAATAACTAACGTGGGGTTTTATATTCTCAACATAGCTGTGATATTAAGTATGAACAGACCTTAAATGCTTGTTCCGAACACAATGTAAGATAGTTCTCATGCAACCCTCAAGCCAGTGGTCTGGATCATCTAATTCATCAAGTAGAGAGAATAATTTGCTGAATTCTTCATCAGATTGAGAGTGCTCCTAAAAGATAAACAAGAAAATGTTAGATGTTTTGACAAGACAAAGAACTCAAGCACTAATTTAGGAACTCACAATAAGACTTATAACAGCTTTCGGCTCTACACTGCATCCAGCTTGCTTCATTTCTTCATATATATTAAATGCATCACACAATTGCCCACGTGATGCGAGGGTGTGGATAAGCACGCTTTTAATTTCATTCAAGTTCTTTACTGGAATCCCATTATCCAAGAGTACCTACCATGGAACGAGTATCAATGAGATCACCAGAAACCATTCATATCTCAGCCAAGCAAATACCTTGAAAAGCTGTAATGTGTTAAAAAATTATTACGACAAAGAAACCTAGAACTTCTGGTATAGACTTGTAGATTCTACTCTGGTATAATGGAACATATAAACAGTTCATGGGCAGGAGAATGCTAAAAGCTAGAATACCTGGCAAATATCGTGCATGATTGCAATACAATATGGCAGGGAAATAAATGAGGCACTAATAGGAAGCAAATATAAATGAGATTTACAGTATTAATAGGAACTATATGGTTAATCAATGTTCTAAAAGGTAAAGGCAAAGACAAGTCGTTGCATAAATTGCCTAGCCTAATCGATAGCCTCACAGTACTTAAAATTATTATAACCTTACACACACACACACACACACACACACGCACACAATATAATACTTTGTAAAACAAATATCCATTGTCATTCTTCATGACCCTTTTTATCCATTGGGCCTTGTAATGTTTTGAAAAAAAAAATTCAAAATTATTTTAACATTTAAAAATATAAGAAAACAAAAGGACAAAGAAAATCTGATGAGTCTAAGTGGCCAAGAAGGTTTTAAAACCTTGCACCAACCTTATGCCGCCTAGTCTGGCTGGGCAGACGTCTTTTTCTATAACCCCGCCCAAAAAAAAAGCCATGGCGAGTATCAAAACTACGATTTTAGAACATTGATTAAAATTTAAATATAAAATAAATCAATAAAAACACCCTTCAGTTTCCCCCACTCTTTAAAAGAATTTCCATTTTTTAGTGTTGCTGAAAATAATTAAAGTCTAGGAGGCAGGCCATTCTGTTTGTTTTAATCAGGCAATAACAAATAACGCCTAAAAAAAAAATTCAAAACGTTTAGGACTGGCTGCAGACTCCAAATGTTTATGGTTATTTATATTCCCAAGGAATAAAAAATGGACTTGGTCGCTGCTTTAAATAGTAATTGCATCACTAAATAAGCATTGTGTCGATATGATAGACTATTGATGGTAGAAGACAAGCAGACAAATAAAAGAAAACTGATGTAACGAAGTCACATTCAATAATAAACTGTAACATAAGTTCTTCAGTGATATGCACCTATTGCCCCAATATACACAGATAATCACAGATTGTATAGTCTTCTCTATTCTTGGTTCATAAGGTAAGAAATTGCGAAATGAATATGTACCTGTTTGGCGTTTTCAAACTGCCCACAAGCTGCGTATGCATGTATTAGTGCCATGAAAATTTGCTTGGTAAATTGAATTCCAGACTGCTTCATTTCTTCATAATACTACAAGTAGATATTCAGATCAGCAACCTTTAAACTCACACTCATAAATTATAAGCAAATTGAATCAGGCGTCGGTTGTTTGGCTGGCACTCAAATCAGGAATGGGGAATGTCATTCCATCAAGATGTGATGTTTGGCTTGGTAGTAAAAGAAATAAAACTAGAAAGAAATAACCTTAGTTACTGGAACCAATTCCCTTAAAGAGGTAGAATAGAACAACGGGTAGGATGGTGTTTTAATTCCTTGGAATGTAATTTCAAGCAGATACCATTTTATCAATCTAGGAGTCTCAATTGAAAAAGAAAAACAATTCAACACTTTTCCCCCTGTTTGTCTGAGATTCAGAAGAAAAATGTGTCCAAGAATAATTTTGATATTCCTGTCGGTCACTCTCAAGTTGGGCCAGCTTTTTTGTCCTCAGAAACCTAAATGCCCAGCCCCAATTAGATACACCCACACGAGATCCAAAGGATCCAACACCACCTCGACAACGTCCCCCCATTTTCAGTTCCTTAAAATTTGCTCAGCCCTTGTTGTGGATATGGCCAATGGACACTACCTTGTCCTTTGCTACACATTTACAGGTACAGACTGACATTAAACCTGCACTGGAGCATCATACCACTACCATGGGGTTCCTCAAACTATATTGCAGTGCTGAACTAACAAAACATAAAAAGGATATGATGGAAAACAAGTTTGAAATCTATGGCTATATGGTTCATGTTCAGATGACAATTTTTTTTTTTTTTTTTTTTTTTTTTTTTGTAGAGTGCAGTTAAGGGATGAATGATAGACAACCGAAAAGATTAGTATAAACTCCATTCTGGGACAATCAGGAGAACGAGAGCAATTCCTATTCCTGTACAAGCTTTCCGGTGAAATGAACGAGTTATCACTCCAGGTTACCTTGTTAATATCCTTCTCAGAGTTACAGTTGGTAATTAGATAGCTGAATGTCTGGGAATCTGGTTTGACATTTGCTGCTTTCATTTGTTGGAGAACCCTCAACCCACCATAAATGTTCTTCTGCAAGGTATTCAGGGAAACAAAGTTTCAACTTTCAGCCACAAATTCATTGAAAACTAAAAATAGAACAAATTGTTACTGAAGCTTAAAAAAAATTAATTCATGTTGAATAGCATAGTAATTGTTTGAAAAAGCGGGCTTAGTTTTATACAGCTGGAAGAAAGAAAGAAAAGCACATGAAAAAGAACGTTACCTCTCGGAAAAATCCACCCATTATAGCATTGTACATGCTAGTAGTGGGTGCCAAATTCATTTCCTCCACGTCTCTCAGCATGCTATAAGCACCTTCATACTGCAAAGGTAAAGAGATACAATAACTGAAATTGGGGTATCATTGATAATAGTGGTTCAACTTCCATGTTATTGGAATGTAAAAATATAAATATTAGGCAAAAAGCAACAGTAAATGAAAACTTAGACATGCAAGTGTGCACAGTAACACAAAGGGAAACCATATAAAACTTACATCCTTCATTTTCACGCACAAACTTATCATACACCTGAAAGTTTCACAGTTTGG